CCACATCTATATTCACACCCACCACACCCACATCCTCAAGATGGTTTTCTCTCAATAAATCATGTTTGTTGAGAAGTGATTGTATGAGTAAGAGAGGCTACATTGTATGTATCTGTTTATTTTACATACATATTAAATTCTAAGCAAGACATCCATTGAGCCTTGTTCAATTCTATTCCATAGAAAAAATTTTAACAGCATTTTTGTGGAAGTAGGTTATAATATAATGAATTATTTTCACAGTGTAGAATCAATATGTATTGAGTTTATGATAAAACAAACCAAATGTGTAAGAAATGAAAAACATATTATATGTATATATATATATAATACAATTACATTTCTCTATTTATTCTTTATGTTGTTTGTTTAGTATAGAAAAAAAAAGAGAGAAGATTTTGTCTTTGAAAATAATAGAGAAATAATTCGAATGAAATAAAGAAGAAGAAGAAGAAAAAAAAAGAGTGTCACCATCATAAAAGAAAAAAGAAAAGACAAAAAATGAACAAATAATAGAAAAGAAAAAAACATAGATAAATACTAAGCAATTGGTCATGCTCAATTTGTTTTGATAAAATTGATTTTGATAATGTATCAAGTTTATTTTGTTGTTCTTGAACTAATTCATTATTATCATTCTTTTCTTTATTTAAACGAATTTTTAATTGATTTAATTCATCACGTATCAATTCATGTTCCGATATCAATGAACGGTAACGTTCTTGTTCACTTCGATACGAATCTTCAGCAGAAACTACACGTTCTAAAAATTAAAAGATATTAATAGAAAATTTTTCTTTAAAAATTACCATTTGTTTTATTTAAATTTTCACGAAGTAAAACAATTTGTTTTTGTGCTTCTATTAATTCATTAACAGAATCATGTCCATTGATATTATCATATTTTTCTGTATGATTATGATTAACAATAGGATCAATTTGATCTAATGGCATTATTGACTCATCATGTGTTTCATTTTCTCCATTTTCTTTCAATATTGGAATATCAATAGAATTATTATTTTCTATAATTGGATCTATGAATAATAAGAAAAAGTATGATAATAATTGAAAAGGATTCTATTATTACCAAGTAAAGAAGATTGTACTTGAAATCGACCATGAGCTGTTCCATTCTAATAAAAAGAAGAAAAAATTTAATTAGAAAAAACATTTTCCTACTTGTATCGATTTCTGTTGTAATTCTTCTAGATGATGTGTTCGTTGATAATATTCGTCAAAATCATTTTGTATTCGTTGTTTTTCGATTTCTATATCTGTACATCTTGTTTGAGAATCCTGAAAATGATAAAATATTTTATTTTTCTTATTAAAAATCTTGAGATCAATACTCGTAATTGTATTTCAATATCTGAAATCAACGAACGTTGTTCATCAACTGATTGTACAAGTTGTTGAATATCTTCTTTCTGTTGTTCATTTTGTTCATTAAAACGTTTTAATTCATCTTGTGCTATTTGTAATGCACACTCAAGAGATTTACTTCGACTATTCGCATCTGCACAATCAATCAATGCTTTTTCTAATTTAATCTTTACAAAACAAAAGAAATTAAGCGGTAAATAATTTATACAATCAGTATTACTTTTGATTCTTGTTCAAATTTTGTATGTGATTCAGTTAATTGAACTAATTCTTGTTTTATCGGATCTTCATTCGGATGCTAAAAGATTAGGAAAACAAAGATAGTTCTTCTATAAATAATATCAAAAATTTCTTTATACTTTAGTACGATAAATACGAATTTGATCTTCTAATGCATTGATTCGCATTAGAAGACGATCTTCATTAATAATTGCTTGCCAACTATCATCGGATGTTTGTTGTGTATTACGTAGTACACGTTGGAGATATTCCAATTTTTGTTCAAGCATTTGTTCACGATGCATAGCTTCCTACAATTGAATTGAAAAGTTTCTTTATATTAATTATAACCCGAAAAAAAAATCAATGAATTATTCTATATACTTGAATATATTGAGCTAATTGATATAATGTTTGTGTATTTATATCAAGTTCTTTTATTTGAGCTAAAGATTGACCATTAGCACTAAATATAAAATTAGAATTTATATATATTTTTATTCATAATTTAAATTACCTTCGAGCTAAAGATTCACTACCATCTGCATGAAAGAGTCGAACTTCCATAATGATACAGTTATGTGTAGCTAAAGGCATAATAGATAAGATTTTTTTCTTGTTTTATTAAGAAATATATCTATATTACTTTTTCGATTATTCTCAGTAACATCAACACCAAATTGAACGACATCATCGGAATAGATTTCAAACGGGGGACTTTCTTCATTACATTTACCTAATCGTTCATTATTAACAAATGTACCATTCGAACTTTTTGTATCTTGTAATAAAAACTAAAATTACATTAAAATAATAAAACAGATATTAAACGGATGTAACAATACGACAATATTTGCTTCATCGATTCTTTAATCAAAGTTCTTTCAAGTATCTTTTTCCTCAGGCTATGTGAAACTATCGCAGTCAACTGATATTTAAGAAATGCAATGTCACTAAACTTTCACACATATTATTAGTTAAACAATTCTATATATATGTATACCTTGCCATCTTCATACCAAAGTCTTGCATGTTGTCGTGAGAGTACTTTACAATCAAAAATGGCATTATTTGGAAGAGCTTTAAGTCGAGCAACAGCCCGTCCAACTTTAACTTGTTCGTTTAATGGAATGCAACGCTCTTGGAACGGATGTGAATTTTGTTTACAACGAAATATACAACAAGGAAATGACATTTGATTTGTTGACATATCAAATGATTGATTTGATGAGGGTGATGATGGTGATAAACTACCATTTGTATTTGTTGATGAAGATGAAACATCTTCAATTATACTTAGAACTAAATCATTTGAATAAATTGATCCATTTGTATTTTCAAAAAGCAAACTCGATGATGAATGATTATCCATTATCTAATATAATATAAAAAGAATTAATAAATAATTAATTTTTAAAAACAAAAAAATGTTAGATTACATTATCTTATTAAAAATTGGATTTAAGGACGGAAATAAAAGAAAATCATACATCTTAAAACAAAATA